CGGGTAAATACCTTTTACCCTATAATTTCCATATTTGGATATATTTTGGGGAATGAACATCCATTAACCAGCTGTGCTGCGGTACCTAGGGTGCCATAGTTTTGACTTATCAAATGGCGAGGGCCGCAGAAACATTGTGGCGAAGCCCTAGATGCGGCTCTAAGCATCGTTCCAGCTCACTGCAACAGGCCATTGCGCAAAAAATCTCAGCAGGATGAAAAGACTGTGGCTGACGAGACAAGGCAAAGGCAAACAGAAGAATGCAGAAGATTGAACTTATTGAAATTTAGATACCTTGCTATCTAAGATCACATTGCAATGCTTAGGAGGCTACGACAACGGGGGTAAGCGCCGAGCCGAGGGTTTTTACCACTAGATGCTTCTTGGAAGAGGCATTCATACCTGGCAAAGAGGTCAGGTTTGTTGAATTACTACTGTACGGGTTGCCCAGTTGCTCAGATACCATACCAATTGTATCCAATTGTCAAGAAGACTTTGAACTGTGTCAAGTGTGTGGTTTATTTAGGATACCCACATTTTTTCAGGACTCTCTGATTCTCTGATCCCCTCGAAGGTAAGCGACCGTGAAGGAATAGACACTGATCATTGGCCGTATGCTTTTAAAAACTTTTATAAATCCTCTGCTAGTTCTTTACATTTCTATACTATTGCATACTATTACTCTCTGTTAATGTGGGTAAAACAATAATAAACCACCCATTTGGGAATGGTTTATACTATAACCAACTATTTATTCTGATTTGGTGGATAGTTTATTATTGTTTTACCCACATTACTACAGTTTTTAAATTGTAATGTGGTTTCAAATCTTTGTGACATTCTGACCAGCTGCTCCGAAGCCGTCCATTGGATCAGGAGCGCTTGGTGCAATTGGACAAAGCCGACGTTTTGTTGGTCGAGATTTGGAAGGCTGGAGCGGTTTGGCGTTGTAACCCTCTCGTGTCAATTTATATATGATAATATATATATATATAATAATAATAATAATAGAATAATATATAACTAGAGATATACTGTATCATATTACATAATGTTCTGAAATAATACACAATAATATACATACATATTTGATTATATTATATTACATTATACTTTATTATAATAAAATATATTTTATTATATTATAATATATTATACGATTTTATATTATATGATTTGGTATTATATTATATTATATTTTATTTTACATTATCATTTATTTGTTGATAGAATTATTATTATACATTTATATTTATATATATATACTAATACATATATATACATCATTATAGATATATCATTATATATTATTGTTATCAGTACATGTATATATAAATGTATTATTCTATATTTTATATATATATTATGATTTATATTTGTATTATTATATATAGCTAAATATATATATCCTCATATATATATATATTATGATATATATATATATATTTATTTATTTATGTAATAATATTATTATATATTTATTATTATATATGTATATAGAAATATATTCATTATTCTATTTCAGCATGTATATTATATATATATTATATTTTTGTTTACATATTATAATATATATATATTTATTATCATATATACATGATTATATATATATTAAATATATTACTGTGTATATTGTCAGTATTTATGTTTGTTTTATATATATACTCAGTATATCCCAGAGAGCTGAGCTATGGTTATCCAATGGTATCCATGTGTTGCTACACTACTTGAGTTTCCCAACATGAAAAAAAAACATCGTTGGAGCTATCAACAGCCCCAAAAAATGCGATCAAAGCAGCTATATATCAAAGTTTCCCTACCACTTAAATCCAAAGCCGCAACATTTAAGTGGATTTCGACGTTGGAATGTTTGATCCTGTTCAGAGGTCACGATCCTTCCCGCTTTTGGACCTGGAGTCCCCGGAGTTCCCATGATACCATCCAGCTATTGGGGTACCCCCATGACTATAGAAACCTCCATAAACCTCCATGTTTATAATCAACAACAAAAGGTGATTTTGTCCAATGAACGTGCAGTTGTCAAAGCAACAACATGCGGATTGAACAGTAATAAAGATATGTTAACCAACTAGCAAAACAACGACCACAAAATAAGAATCTATAGTAATATATGGTGGGCTCCGTAAATTGCCAAATCATCAATTTTCATTGTTTTTTTTTCAGCACAAACCACCCAATTTGGGGTACATCAACTATAAATGATAGATTTTCACTAGATTTCCCATTGCAGGGTGTGATTACTGGAGGGTAAACCATTCCCAAAAGGTTTGTTTATCAGTGGAACATCATGGAACATCTCTTATGAGAACAGAAAGGTGACATAGACGACAGTATGGGTCAAGATTTCAGACACCTCTCGACCCGCAGATTAGCAGATCGGCTTATGAATGTTTATTTCTTTTGGTGACTGCTCTTGCTACTTGAAGTATCATCCCGCAAACTGGCATGCAATGGGGTTGCAACCTTTTTCTGTACACAATATTGGTTGGAGTTTCCCCACTGAGACAAAATCACCAATTGCTTTGGAGGGATCCTCCAAACAAAAACCAGCAGGAAGTGACCGGAAAAGATGATGACCGAGAGGCCGCGAGTTGGCGGAGTTTGAGAAGCTGGGTAGACCGGTAGGTGGTGGATGGATGTGTTTCATTTGTTTTTCATCCTTTTTCTGGTGAATGGTTGTTTTCTTACATCACACTCGCAAGGCTCAACATGAAATCAAATAGTGTATTATATCATTGAATATTTTAGGTTCTACAGCCATGACAAAACGATATGAACTGTGATTTTTTTCGCGCATGGTTCCAACATATTCCAAACTGCTTCGTGGTTTGGAACATGTTTTGTTATTTTTTCCTTACCCATAGGATCCATGTATGCTATATATGGTAACATTTACCATCAATATACTCCAAATGTGAGCATATATACCAGCACCATGGATCCTATGGGTTATATTGGGAAGTTCATAATCCCAACTGACTTTCACTCCATCATTTTTCAGAGGGCTAGGCCAACCAACAGATGTCATGGAGATGAGTTCTGCCTCGATGCGACGCCCGGCCTGGTAAACATACACAAAACGACGGAAGGATCCAGCATTTTTAATGGGAAAACTCACTATTTCGACTGGGCCATGTTCAATAGCAAACTGCTAGTTTACCAGAGGGTATCTAACTTATCAGCAACTTATATATTTGATGTATCTTGATGTGGGTAATGCCACAACATCCAGAAACCATTTACTAAAAAAGGGACCCGTGTTGAAAGGAATACAGCCTGCCATAAACCTGGACCCTTAAGAAGGCCCATCAAAGTGACCGGTGGTCGATGCTTCCCTAATATTATCTGATTGGATCTATAATATATATATATATACATATGTATATATATATATATGTATGGATGTGTTTTGGTTTGTTTGGACACATCTTCCCTCTATCTAATTCTTAGGAAATACTTCAAACTGTCTCACTCAGAATTTCACTCAGCTCGGAGGGTTGATGTCACCCCTGCCAGGGGGGATCTAGGAATCCTGGAAATTTGCTGCACAGCTATGGACAAATGGCCATAGAAATCGTTGATTTACACATGAATAGCATGGTGATTTTCCATAATTTATGTGAAATTACCAGAGGGTAAGGGATCTCCATGATTTCAAGCATAACAATGTTCAACCAGTTTCACGCCATCTGGCAGTAGGCCTGGTCTACTGCCAGCCGCACCTTCCGGGAATCTGGTGGCGAGGACATGCGGCTGAGGGTTTGGTGGGGCCTGTGGACCAGCTTGTCATGTAGGATCAGGTAATTCAACAAGAGTTATATAGAGGACATGCTAGAATAATTTTGAATATCATGTTCTTATGTTCTTGACGGTTGATTACAATCATGTTCTATTTCTATTTCCAAGATCCTTTTGTCACACTGAGAGGGTTTTATGGTCAAGTTCTACCTTGACCTAAGCAGCTGCCGGGTAGGCCGCTGAATGTCGCTGAATTACAACCTCTTGATGGCTACGTTAATAACTGATGACGAGATTACATGAATTTGCGTTTCAGGAATCTGTTCCATAGCTGGAGCCAAATATGTTCTAGAAAAAAGATACACTATTTTAACTTTAACTAAATGGTATCTTTACCACATGCTTATTGAAGTGAGAAGCTAAACAAAACAGATTGCCCCGGGGTCATCCCAGTAGAACCGGTCTCCTGGTTTCTGTTTGTGTTCACTGATCATTCAAACTGCTCTTAATTCCACCTGGTTTGAGAAAAGAGACCCTTAAATGACTTATATAAATGGTCATGTCATGTCATGTCATGTCCCAATCTCATCCAATCTCAGTGAGCTATTATTTTGATGCAGTCCTACCAAACACAGATGACCAGTTTCCGTATCAATAAGTGGCTAAACATGGCAACATAATTGACATAACATGTCTGCTTCCGATGATTTCGGATCAAAGAGGGCCAGCAATGGTCACCTGCTGTGCTGCTTCGGAGTGTCAGCAAACGAGATGGAAAATGCGACATTCCGCCACGCAAAGTGAGTTATACACTCAGGTTTCTAAAAGGGGACAGGGCATACGGATGCATACGGCACTACTTGGAAACGACGGCTGGGTAGTTGCTTTCGGAAATTCTGACTATGGACAATGTATGATTCCACCTTTGACTTGGAGCCTGGAATTGTGTATACCCAGGTGTCTGCAAACTTGTATCAGACAGTGCTTCTGCGAAGTGATGGCTGTGCTGTTGCTTGTGGACAAAATGATTCTGGACAATGCAACTTCCCACCTTTGGATGAAGCAAAGTCCTACACGCAAGCCTCTGCTGGAGGGTTTCATACCGTGCTTCTCCGACAGGATGGAAATGTTGTGGCTTGTGGAGATAATGTTTTTGGACAGTGCAGCATTCCACTTTTGTAGGAAGAAATATCACACACCCAGGTTTCTGCAGGTCTAGGTCACACAGTGTTTCTTCGAAGTGATGGCCGTGCTATTGCGGTTCCAATCGTCATGGACACTGCAACATTCCATCGGAGGAAGGAATGTCATACGTCCAGGTCTCTGCATGGGCCACTCATACAGTGCTTTGGAGAACTTGATGCAAAAGTGGAAGGTCAGACACTCCCAAGTCCACAATGGGAGGTCACACAATGCTTCTCCAAAGTGGTGGCTTACCGCCGCATGAAACAGCCTCCAAAATACACCATTCCGCCTCTGGATGAAGGAATGTCCTACACACAAGCTTCTGTTGGGGGGTTTCATACTGTGATTCTCCGACAGGATGGAAATGTTGTCGCTTGCGGAGACAATGAACATGGGCAATGCAACATTCCAGTGTTGGAGGAAGGAATGTCATATGTGCAGGTCTCCGCAGGGGCAATTCATACAGTGCTTCTCCGGAGTGATGGCATGTAGCTTGCGGACAAGGAACTGATTGGCAATGTGACATCCCATCTCTTGCTACTTCCCGTCGGTATGTTTGCAATCATTCAGGACCGTTTGGGAAAGACGTTGTGTTGCAGCTAGACTTTATCTTCAAACATCGTGAAATCGCATGCATATGCTCAAGTCTTGCTGGCGAAGAAAAAATCAATCCATCTGGCCTCGATCTGGCCTCTGATCTTCACAAGTGGATTGGGAACTGGGGGTGAACCTCAAAGCTCTTCGCTTAGTATTGCCCGACAGATCTTGACATCTATGGTGCAAATCTAGCAGCCACCGTGCAGATGCTGTCATGCATCAGGACCCGGTGACGCACGACGCAATAAAAGGGCAAAACAAGGGTGTCCAATTCGAGGTGTTCGGGGGCCAACTCATGTTCATTGTGCTTCTAGGTGCCTAATGCAGCAGCCTGAAGGTCAAGTTTACAACCTAGACCCTCCAAATACCCCACATATTGGTAAAAGTTCAATGATTATAGGGAAAAGACACAATTTTCTGGATAGTTGTAAGATCTAGGAAGACATGTCATGGCATAGCTTTTTTCGCAAAACCAATCAGGAGTCATATTGTGTAATTACCTCAGTCCAAGGACTTCAGCCCAGGTTACAGCGACCGGGTTCATCGTATACATTTGGCATACCAAATGGCTTACCAAAGCACAACTATCGTGCTGCTTCTTTGCTTAATGGTTGGAGCTGTTTCTAGGTTGGAAATGGTTGGAGGCTTATTCAAGGCAAGCCCAAGAAGCCAAAATCCGACCGAAGTAAATATGTATCCACCGATGACCGATGACTGACGGCACGGACCGAGACTGCTAGTTTCTCGTAGATTTGGCGTGATTGATTTGATTAGGGTTATTGGCAGTCTGGCTCAATCCTTTTCATCATGGAAAGTTTACTGCTTCTGCGTGCGCCTGATTTCTCAACAATATCGCAAATCAAATTTATGAAATGAATATGTCAACACGATCACAACAATATCCCAACAATGTCCAAACCATATAACAGCAATACCGCATTGAAAGTTACCACCAATTGAGCCACGTTCAAAACCCCCCTATTCATCTTTAGTAAGAGGGTGGCAGTAAGGGCCTCTGGCGTAAGCCAAAATGTGGTGGGCGTAAGCCCGCGTAAGCTTTTTTGAAGCATTTCAGTGCGTAAGCTCCTGGCGTAAGGTCATACTTGCAGAGTTCCAACAGGATTTTTTTCAATTTGTAGCTATGTGAAATCCATGCATACATGTTCGACTACCTTTTTGAAACGTTTGTTTGTAACCCATGATGGAACTTAATTCTGCATGGCATCCCCTCTCTATCCAATACTACTCAAAGGGTAAGTTTGGGTCACTACATATCACACGAAAGGTTTGCCAAGTAATTCGCATGAGTGATCGGGCTGCCTTTTGGGTTGGTGGAATCGTGGCGTCTCGAGCCATTTTCTTGATCAATCATGGCCAAAGAGCCGGAGTGCCCACCAAATTGGCCTACGGAGTGCCATGCTAGAGGATGTTGCGGTAAGATGGGGGTGCCTACTGTTCATTCCAAACATGGCGTGTGGGTTGGCTCATGTGAAGCTTGGTGGAGGAAAAAATTGTCCATTTTAGTGCGGGCAAGTTTCACAAAACCATATAGAAAAGCTCTGATCCCTACAAGCCCCCAAATAATAATTGCAATGTTCTATAGATATGGCAAATGTTTCGGTTATTTCCCACAAAAATGTGCGAGAATTGGTTTGCACCAGCTTTCCATCCCCATGAAATTGGGCCATCGCAAGCTGATGTTGGTTGGAAGGCTAATCACTAATCATTTATTTTGTTGCTTGGCTTGGCCATTGTCGCACGTGAGGATGGCTATGTTTCATACACTGCCTGCACCTGCGTCGCAGTCTCCTGCCGCATGCGAAAAGAAGCTTAGACAAAGCCAGGAAAGACATAGAGTCGGTGCTGCCAAACTACTTCCAAACTTTTGACGCGTCTGCCGAAACCGCTGCTGCTTTGCAAGAGGAAGATTGCTTTGCTTTGCTATGTCGCTTTGTCGCCTTTGTCGAAAACACGAATTTCTATGAATCCAGGAATGCTGCCCGCATGGCTTTGCCTGTCCCTGTGCGCTTGAACCTGCACCAAGAAGAAGCTCGCGTCCTTCACAACCTTAAGTCCCACATAGAGCTTCTAGAAGCGTACAGATGGCATCAAATTTCAGCCCGAAGACAAGAGAAGTCTTTACAGAATCTTCGCGATGGAGGTCTTCCACCGGAAGGATTGCTTGTGCAAATAGATTTTAAGGAGAATGTGCGGTATCCTTTAAGACGCTTGGTTGGATTACGTATAACGCTTTTACTGTTTCTAATGTAGTTCGCGTAATCTCTTTTGGCAAACATAGCAACCCAGGTCGCGAAGAAACAGGCGCCGAGTGGCATGCGCAGAACAAGCTTTCCTTGACTGTTTTTGGAGCTAGCATCATTGCCCCACTTCGAACAGGAGGTCACAAAGAATTCTATGTTCTGTTGGTTTCAGAAATTTTGGATCACGATGCGCAAGCTGCCAACATGATGTTAAATACAATCTTGGGGGTCATCAAGCAGCATCCGCTAGTCGATTGGACGCGAATTGGCACAATGTGGCTTGTTTGCGATTGTGGGCCACACTTCCGTTCCTATGAAAACGCTGCCCACTTCCTCTACACGCTGGTGAAGACTCTCAAGCTGCAGGTCCATGTTCTGTATCTAGGTGAGCAGCATGGAAAAGGTGCTTGTGACCGCTTGTTTGGCTGGACAAATGAGTGGCTCACAGTTTACGTCCAACATTCTCCTGTCCATGGCCTTCCTAGCCTTGTTGATGCGTATTCCAGAGGCGCGGAACGCATGATGCGTGAAGACCCAACTGGCCCCAAATTCCTCATTAAAACCTTTGACCCTGGAGAGAAACGGCCCTCATCGCGCAACACTTTCCAATGCCCTGGCTTCAAGATAACCCGCACGTACAGCCTCTCTGCAAAGCCCAGTGTGTATTCTTCGTCTGGCGTTTCCATTCGGGACAATGTTTTCAGTGACATGTCTGCCACGGAGATCCTGAGTGGCTGGTCCATTGCTGACTTTGTGACGCCCCTCGAGAATGAAGTTTGGCGCCGTGGGTACTATGACAAGCCTCGTGCTTGGGAATCTGTTGGCCCTCAAGCAGGTGATGTAACAGAACTCACTCGCAAGTTTGCAAGCCAAAAAAAACACAAAAGCAGCAACATGCCACTGCCCAAACGATCGCTTGAAGAAAAATTGTCCGCGCACGCGCGCGCACTCAGCAAAGCATCTGTCAAGAAACGTCGCCAACTTCGAGTCTTGCGGAATGAACCTACGGATTCCTCTTCTTCGTCTACTTCCTCGTCTTCGTTTACTTCTACCGCATCTGATGCCTGACGGAGATTCCAAGACCATGGCATTCTGCTTGTAAAAATTGCTGCGCGTAAGCTGGCGCTGTGGTGGGGTGCAAAAACCTGTAAGCGTAAGCTCCGCGTAAGTGCAAATTCAACCAAATCCCTCGCGTAAGCCAAAATTGTGGTGGCGTAAGCAAGGCGCAAGCGGACGCGTAAGCATATCCTTATCGCCTTCAGAAGAACAGGACCTTTTGAACACAGCTCAATTTGATTTATGTTGCCTTCCTGGGTTTACACTCCTGGTATTGAACTGCAGTTGTGGGGTCCGAATGAAGATCACAACGATCATTTTGTTTATGTTGTGCAAATGCGACGAGGGCCAAGAACAGGCACAGCAAAATGGTATCTATATATGATGTAAATATATAAATGTGATTATATTAGAATTATATTAGATATATGTTTGATTCTGATATACATATATATATATATATATATTTATATTAATATTATATATACACATAAAATTAACATTACTAAACTCCTTATTGAAGACCTGAAACGAAAAACGCGGGGAATCAGGAACCCGTTCTCCCAGAGCTCGCCAGGCAGGGTTGATCAGCCACCATGGGGAAATCTCCATTTTGGTGTAACCTAAATAGTCTATAAATGGAAGTTTATGGGAAAGTCATCGAACTATGGTTGGTGGATTTTCATGGATTTTCATGGATTTTCATGGATTTTCATGGATTTTCATGGATTTTCATGAATTTTCATGGATTTTCATGGATTTTCCGGTTTGCCCCGGAGGGTAAACCTGGGCAAATTGATTTGGTTTTAATGAGTTCACTGGTGTTCATTGTAGCATATTGTAGCCATGGATGAGGGAATATATATGATTATAAAATATTATAAACAAGGGTTGACTGCCTGGAATGATCCCTGAAATTCAGATCCTGGTTGGTCTGTCACATGGATTTTCCCAGTGATTTATGGATGCTGCGAACCACTTACGAACCTCTACGAAATGACCAGATCATGGACCTAACCCAAAAATTCTAGGGGAAACATCTTCCAAACCCATGTATTTTTTTGGAGGATGGAATTTCGAACAAGTTAAGCCCTGTACTCTTTGCACATCAAACTGCTGGTATAGCTGGATGTGTACCCCCGCAAGTTTGATATCTGTTTTCGTAGAATCGTATAGGTATTGACCCATCCATCCAAAAGCACTTGGATTTTGCAAAACCAGTATATCCGAATATATATCCGATATGTCTGGTGGTTTAAACATGTTTAAACAAGTCTGGCTTTGTCAAAAAAGGTATCCCCATATTATCTGATTGTATATATACTGGAAGGCAAGCAGGACGATAAAAAGTAGTGTGTCTCACTGTTTTAGTATGATTGCATGTGTTTTTCTTGTTGGTGATTACTTATACTTTTTTATGCACGTTTGATTGGGAATGGGGTCAAGACCCATTATGGCATGTTTTGATGGAGGAACGTGCAGGTTTTGCTGTTTTGGTGTGAAAACCAGAGGGCCCCCAGGGTTTTGACTTTTACAAGGTAGTGACCCCCAGTTGTGTCTATTGATTGGTTAATTTTCACCTTTTCACCCAATCAACATAACATGTTCAAATTTTCTACCATGAATCCGGGTGAAGTGTTGGTGAATGAAACCAACGTGGCGATTCCGAACTGGGTCCCATGACATATCCCATATGATAGCCATTAAATTCCAGCAAACCGTTATTGGTAGCTTACTCATCAAATGGGTGGCTATATCCAAAGGAATCTCCCATCAATATTCCATCAATATTCCATTGATCTCCCATGAAAATCCCATTACATAACCCATATGCTTTGTTTAAGGTTTTTTTGTTACCTGCATTTGGGTCATTTTGTTGGTAAATGTTTGTAAAGGAGCACACGGGTAATCTACCATTAATATCCCATCAATATCCAGTTCATATCCCAATCTAACATGACACTTCCAATGGATATCGAATGAAACTTAATTTCATTAATTGTTCAGTGAAACTTACATGTACATACATCTACCCTAATTAGGGCAAACTAACATAGATGTCGATTTCGACACCACCATGAATGTAGATAATAAAATCCTGGGATTTCCCCATAGGTTTTCCACATCTATGTTTGTTAAAAAAACACCATGAATTGGTAAGTCATAAATTTATCATCTATTTCTATGGGCCATGGCGTCCATAGCAAACTATAAAATAACCAGAGCGATCCAGAGCGTATTATCGGTCAGGTGTCCAAAATATTTGGGAAAGCATGGGTAAACCATCAAATAAACATGGGTATATTGAATATATATATATATATATATATATTTTTTTTCATGCCATGAACAGTGAATATCCATGTACCCTAAGTCATCCAAGTCATGGATGACCTTTTAGTATTGAAGCCCATGGTTTTGAGGCACCACCTTTCTAGGAAACCCCCTGTTGGCTGTTGGTTAAATCATGTTAAATCCCATTAAATCCAGCCAGGACATAAACCAATAAACTACACTATATTTCTTGGTTAAACTGCTCTAGTCAAGTCGCTATATATCCCAATGTTCAGCTTCTGAAACTTCAAGGCCGTTGACGGAGGAGGAGGGCGAGTTGTGCGCGGAGCTGCGACAACAACGCGCCAAGGTGGGCCGGATTTTACACCATCAAACTGCAGGGACTGTTGGGAGGCTTGTCCCAAAATATGGGACATTTACCAAATGGGCATCAATTATTTCCATTTCAAACCATTTATTTGGATGTGAGAAGAATCAAGTAGAGAAATCATGAGCAACTGTTCCCTGAAACACAGGAAAATATGAGGATAGGACATGATAGGACCCATTTTGAGGGCGCATTGCATTTTCGCGGTGTGGATTATATGTGTTTCATGGTGCCTGATGCTGTTCACACATATTATATATAGATATGGCAGTGGGTCAAAACCTTGTACCCCTGGTGAACATCAAAATAGCTTGTAAATGGATGTTCATTCCCCTAAAAATGGTATTAATAGGTATTAATCCATACCCATATCACGTATATCCACATCTTAATTATAGTTATATCATATCACATCAATATTACGCTTGAGCAAACAGTCCTCATCTCCATGGTACTTGCCCTTGTCACGAGCCTCGTGCGCTGACAGATTCAAGAAGAAAAGGGTGACTTGGGCAAAGCCATCCAGGAGGCACGGCCCGGCACGGCTCATGTCATCCTGGCGGGAGCTGATGGAGCTGTGGAAGTTTTTCGAATGGGGACCATAAAGGGGTTGATCTTCGGGGATTTCATGGGAATATTGTCTGGGATATATGATATATATTATAGTACAATATTATAGTTATATCATTATATATATATCATCAACACATCAGCAATCTCTGGCGGGGAAATGCGCGGCCGCACTGGCGGATCTCAACATACCCTATCTCATATAGCGAATCATTCCAAAAATGTCCATGTTATGTTGTGTTGGGAATCGCCATAAATCATCCCGAACCTGTGAACAAAAATAATCATGGCTTAAGTGGTGAGGACGCGATCAGTTCAGAGATTCAAGGTATACAATTCAATGCACATATCATACATGTTTATTTGGTGGTTTACCCCATCATCCCAGATAATTAGGATACCTGCACTCCCGATTCCAGTGGATGTGACTAATCCTTATTACGCTATTAAAGTGCTATAATTTGCGGTATACCCTAGTTTTAGACATTTTTAGACATTTTTATAGACATACCCATATTCATATCCATATATATGTAATTATAATATATATCTATCTGTATTAATCTATATCCATATCTATCTATATATAGATATTATATATATATATAGATGATATATATATATATATATATACATATACTTTATGATTTACCCTATCATGGTGCGAAAAATCTGCAGATCTTCAGGTCCTTTACGCCATGGAATTCCTGCGTCGCTTCGCTACCACACAGAGCAGCAAGGAGTGGTGACCTTGGGACACTGGAGGGGAAACCTCGTGGGGGGACCTCCAGTTACCCTCTGGTAAACTAAAATAACTATGGAAAATCAACTAATAATAGCTGTAATTTAACATAGCTATGGAAATTCCATTATAAATGGAAGTTTTACTGGGAACATCAACTGGCCATGTTCAATAGCAAACTGTTAGTTTAATGTTGACCTATGATTTGTCAATGCCCCCTGAATAAAGCTAAATGTTTCCCAAAATAAATAATAAATGCCCCCTAAATAAAGCTAATTTTTTTTGGCCCTAAAAGATTTGCCCAGATGGGGCTGATTTTTTTTTCCATGCTTTATTTGAGGTGGCTTTCATGTACTAATTCATATTGCCAGCTCATTAGATCTTGCCTTGATAACTTCAAATTTTCAAAAATAATGGTTGCTCTTTTCTATTCAAAACCTTTATTCAAAATTATCCAAAATCAATCCCAAATCAACTCGTCAAGGGTACCCCCCATGAGGTGCCTTGGCACTAATTAGAGTTTGACCCTGAATAAAGCTAATTGTTTTTGGCCCTAAAAGATTTGCCCAGATGGGGCTGAAAAAAAAAATCCATGCTTTATTTGAGGTGGCTTTCATGTACTAATTCATATTGCCAGCTCATTAGATCTTACCTTGATAACTTCAAATTTTCAAAAATAATGGTTGCTCTTTTCTAGTCAAAACCTTTATTCAAAATTATCCAAAAACAATCCCAAATCAACTCGTCAAGGGTACCCCCTATGAGGTGCCTTGGCACTAATTAGAGTTTGACCCTGAATAAAGCTAATTGTTTTTGGCCCTAAACCCAGATTTGCCCAGATCCATGACATGAATACTAAATCAATACTAAATCCATGACATGAATACGAGATCAATACTAAATCCATGACATGAATACTAAATCAATACTAAATCCATGACATGATCCGTACTAGATCAATACTAAATCCATGACATGAATACTAAATCAATACTAAATCCATGACATGAATACTAAATCAATACTAAATCCATGACA